CAGGGCGTGTCCGAGGCCAACCTCAAGGACTGAGGTGGGTGAGGGGGTGCCCCTCGCCCCCCACCCCCGCCCGTGCCGCCGCCGCCTGCGCCGCTTCGCCGCAGCCCCGCCCGGGGGGCTCCCGCCCCGCCCCGCGCCACCCGGCGCCACCCACCACGTGTCCCCGCGTGTGTCTGTCTGTCCGTCCCCTCCTCGTCCCGCTCTCGTGGCGATGCATCGTGGGCTGGTGCTTTTCGACCCGTGGCCTCTTTGCGCGTCAGCCGTCTGTGCCACCCGTGTCACCCGTGTCACCCGTGCCACCCGTGCCGCCCGCCGCTGCCCCAGGGAGCCGCGTCCAGCCGGTGCCATGTACATCTCTGTGTTACACAATACACCCCGTGCCGGGCTGGTGGCCCCGCGTCCCCTCCGTGTCCCCACTCGCGTCCCTGCGCCTCCCGCGGCGGCAGGAGGGGCCCCCCGAGCGGGCGGGGCTTGGGGGTGCAGGGGGGCTCGGGGCACAGGGGGGGCTCGGAGGTGGCTCGGAGGTCTCATCACGGTGGGCGACGGCGGCGTGGGCGATGTCCAGGTCCCGCAGCACCTCCTGCAGCCGCTGCCCGACGGGTACCTCCCGCACCTGGGGCTGGGGGTCAGTGCTCAGTGCCCGCCCACTCCTTGTACCCTCTCCAACACCCACCTCTGGCACCACCCCGGCACCCACAGTGGCACTGACCTGTTGTATCCCCTCCGAAACCCACCTGTTGTGCCCCCCCACCACCCACCCGTGGCCCAACTCACCCTGACTGCCCCCCACCCATGCCCAGCACCCCCCCAGAGCCCACCGTGGCAGCCATCCCTGTCACCCCTGTCCCCAACACCGCATGGACAGGGACAGGCACCATGTGACTGTGAGGGTGTCCCCGTGTCTGTGTGTCCCCACGTCCCCCTGTCTGTGTCCCCATGTCCGCGCACCCTCATGTCCCTGTGTCCCTGCGTCCTCATGTCTGTGTGTCCCTGTGTCCTTGTGACCCCGTGTCCCCATGTCCCTGTGTCCTCGTGTACATATGTCCCTGTGTCCCCATGTCCCTGTGTCTCCATGTCCGTGTGTCCCTGTGTCCATATATCCCTGTGTCTGCGTGTTCCCACGTCCATGTGTCCCCGTGTCTGTGTCCCTGTGTCCCCATGTCCTTGTGTCCCTGTGTCCCCATGTCTGCGTGTCCGTGTGTCCCTGTGTATCTGCTGTCTCCTCGTGCCATGTCTATGTGTCCTCGTGTCCATGTGTCCCCGCTGTCCCCAGGTGGGGGAGCCAGCGCAGTGCTCCGTGGGGTGTGTGGGGTGTGTGGGGTGAAGGGTCCCCATCGCCCCCCAGGTGTCCCCGTACCTGCCTGCCCCGGGCAGGGGGGCTTGGCCGCTGCGCTGCCCACAGGACCCCCGGCCACAGCCACCTTGTGGGACAGGGACCCTCAGCACCCAAAGGTCCCCTGGAACCCCCAGCACGCTCCCACCCTGCCTGGCAGCACCAAAAGTCCCCCAGAACCCTCGTGTCACTCCTGGCCCCCCTGCCCCGTGGGACAGGGACCCTCGGCAGGCTGCCCCCCGGCAGCCCGAGGTCCCTGGGACTCCCTCCCTCACCGCAGGTGCCCGTAGAGGGTCTGTGCCGCCGCCGCGGGGTCCAGGGGGTCGTTCCACTCGCTCAGCACCACCGTGCTGTGGGTCCGGCTGCACCGACACCCCCCACCCGGGGCAACCCGGCAACTGATGGCAGGGGATTCTAACACACCACCCCCGGCCATCCCACACCCCATCGCAGGGGATCCCAACACTCCCCTCCCGTGGTACCCCAAAACCTCCATCCCATGGGACCCGATACCCCCTCTCAGGGGACCCCAGAGCCCCTGGCAGTGCCCCCACCGGCACGGGCAGGCTGCAGGCAGCAGGTCCAGGGGCTGGTGTGGAAGGTGCCCGGGTGGCACTAGTGGCCTGGCTCAGCACCCACAGCCACTGCCACAGCTCCAGGGCACTCTGAGGGCACTGGGAGGGTGGGTGGCACCTTGAAAGTCACCCTGTGCTGGGCAACAGGGCTGGGACCCCAGTGACCCCAGTGCAGATAGGGCTGGGACCCCAGTGCTCCCAATATAGCTGGATTTGGGATCAGGACTATTCCCACTGTCCTGTGGGACAGGGGTGCCTCCTGCCCACGGGCTGTGGCTGGGGCTTTCTGGGTGCTGGGGGGTTGTGGGGGATTCTTGGGTGCTGGGAGTGGGGGCACCCACCTTGCACTGGAGGTAGGTGGTGAGGGGCTGCCCGGCCTCATCCTGTGCCACTACCTGCAGCATGTGGGGGTGCTGGAAGGTGCCCTGGTCCACCCTCTCCACCGCCCTCATCTGCCCCACGGGGATGAAGCCGAGCACCTGGGGAGCCCAAAACACCCCAAAAAGTGAGCACATGTCCATAGCCCCCACTTGATCCACCTGGATGGAGCAGTGCACCTGGGGACTCCGAAACACCCTAAAACATGTCCACTTGTATCTGTATCCCCCACCTGTTCCACCACCCACATCCTTGGCACTGGGATGGAGCTGAGCACCTGGGAACCCCAAACACCCCAAAACATGCATCCAACCCTGCATCCATGGCACAGAGATGGAGCCTGGGGACCCCAAAATGTCTTGAAACATGTGCCCATGTCCATATCCCCCAGAGCTGCTCCACGGGGATGGAGCAGCACACATAGGGACGCCCAGAACACTCCCCCCACACGTTCCCACACCCATATCTCGCTCCCTTGTGCCCCTGGCGCAGGGTGGGGGTCACGGGCAACACCCATCTGCCCCAAGAAGATCTTCAT